AGATAGAGTTACAGATAGTGAGAGGGAGAGACAGAGAGAAAGGTCATCCATCCATTGGTTCCCTCCCCAAATGTCTGCAACAGCCGGAGCTATGCCTGTCCGAAACTTGGAGCCAGGAGCTTCTGGGTCTCCCACATGGGTGCAGGGACCCAAGTGCCTGAGCCTTATTCTACTGCTTTCCCAGACCATAGCAGAGAGCTGGATTGGAAGAGGAGCAGTCAGGACTAGAACCAGTGCCCAACCTTAGTTTCATAGTATATAAAATGGACTAAAATAATCATATGAAATATTTGAGTAGAATCTGTACAACATTGATAATTAAGACAATCTCTGTTATGTCACAGTCTGATACAGAGAGAATGCGACATAAATTTCAGTGCCACACACAGCAAGTCAGGTGTATTTTGTAAAATATTTTGGTAGGCTAACTGTAGTAGTGGATGACTGTAGCCTCCCCAAAATCTCTGGTATGCAAAGAACTCTGATTTCCAAAGTCATACTCAATTACAATAATCAAACTGTCAAGTTCTTAGCAAAAATCTTTAAAGATTTTTAAATTTTTTTATTTCTTTTTATTTTTTGAAAGCCAGAGTCACAGAGAGGGAGATGGGACAGGAGAGGGGGTTACAGAGAGATCTTCTATCCACTGGCTCACTCCACAAATTGCCACAATAGTCAGGGGTTGCCCAGACTGGGGTCCAGAGCCAGAAGCTTCACGTGAGTCTCCCACATCTGTGCAGGAGTCCAAGAACTTGGGCCATGTTCTGCTGCACCTCCACGTGCATTAGCAGGGAGCTGGAGCGGAAGCAGAGTAGTTGGGTCTGAAGCTGAAGCCTAAATGGGATGACAGCACCATGGTACACCAGAACACTGGTGTGTAAAACAATTTTTAAAAGAAAACTGTGGGGGCCAGAGCTGTGGCATAGCAGGTAGATCTGCTGCCTGCAGTGCTGGCATCACAAATGGGAACCTGTTCAAGTTCTGGCTGCTCAATTTCTGATTCAGCTGTCCGCAGTGGCCTGGGAAACAATGGAAAATGACCTTAGTCCTTGGGCCTCTGCATTCATGTGGGAGACCTGGAGGAGGCTCCTGGATCCTGGCTTCAGATCAGCCTAGCTCCTACTAGGTTGTAGTCATTTGGGGAGTGAACCAGTGGATGGAAGACCTCCCCCCACCCCCCATCTGCCTCTGCATCTCTGTGACTCTGCTTTTCAAATAAATAAATAAATCTTTAAAAAAAGGAAATTGTGGCTCAGTTAAAAAAGACATAAGCTGTCTTTAAGAAAGTCAATAAATCGGGGCCAATGTTGTAACATAGCAAGTAAACCTTCCTCCTTTAAAGCTGGCATCCCATATGGTGCCTGTTCAAGTCCCAGCTATTCCACTTCTGACCCAGCTCCCTGTTAATGCACCAGGGAAAGCAGAAGAGGATGGTGCAAGTGCTTAGGCCCCTGCACCTTCTTAGGAGACAAGGAAGAATCTTCTGTCTCCTGGGTTTGGTCTGGCCGAGCCCTGGCTGTTGTAGAGTGAACCAGCAGATGGAAGACAGATTCTCTCTCTCTCTCTCACTCTCACTCTCACTCTCACTCTCACTCTCACTCTCATCACTTTCTCTGTAACTCTTTCTTACAAATAAGTACAATAAATCTTTAGGGGCTGGCAGTGTGGTACAGTGGGTTAAAGCCCCATCCTTCAGAGCTGGCATCCCATATGGGTGCCTGTTTGAGTTACAGCTGTTCCTCTTCCTATCCAACTCCCTGATAATGTGCCTGGGAAAGCAGCAGAGGATGTGCCAATTGCTTGGACCCCTGCACTCATGTGGGAGACAAGGAAGAAGCTCCTGTCTCCTGGCTTCAGATCAGCTCATCTCTGGCTGTCACAAGCATTTGGGAAGTGAATCAGTGGATGGAAAACTACTCTCTCTCTATCTCTCTCTGTAACACTTTCAGATAAACACAATAAATCTTTAAAAATAAATAAATCTTTAAAAATACAATAAATTTTAATTACTTTTTAAAACATTTAATTAAGTGTTCCACAAATGTCCAGTGGGTTAATGGAAATCATGGACAAAGCATTAAGGAAAGCAGGAGAAAGATGTATGAACTAAGAAGGAATGTGAACAAAAATAATACTGAAGTGAATGTGACACTACAGGCGTCTCTTCTATATGTCGTTACATATAAACTCAGAAATGGGATGGTTGAGTTAGAAAGAGAGATGCTGGTAGGCTCCAAACACAGGAAGAATATTACAAAGTGGACAAGCTGATTACCTACTTTATACTGTGCCCACAAAACTGTATAGGTGTTATTTATTAATTAAAATGTAAAAAATAAATTAGTTAATATAAATATTATAAAACATAAAATCAAGACAAAGAAATCAGAAAAACTATCTGGAGTTGACAACTTGGCATGGAAGCTAATTGGAATTTTCATATAGAAGGATTTAGCCTTCTAAAGCTCAATGAATGAATGCCTCAATTTCCTCTCTTGTAGGATGTAAAATACAAGATGACAAGAACTGTAGAATTGCATGCTTGCATTTCTTGTGTGACAAGATGGTTTACTGAATCTAAAGAAAATTAGGGATGCTGTCTTTTGACTTTGAAATTTATGAAACACATCAGATTAACTCTATGGCTGATTTTATCAATATTTAATTAAGGTAGACTATATATATATTTAATAAGAATGAATACAAAATGAAGTTATGTTTGAAGATGATATGAATAAAATAATCTGGTGAATCAGAGAGGTTAATACTTAGAATATACAATATTAGGCACTATCATAGGCCATTAAATTGATGAACTTAGTAGTTAAAATTTCCAAATTATTATCACAAAGATTGATTTAAAAAGAAAAAAATGATAGATTTTCAATTATATCATGAGAGAAAAATCAACACAGAAATAAACCACTTTTATTAATTATTAAAATCTGTACATATGTAAATAACAAAGAATGAGCTACATGCTAAGTAATTCACTTAATAGTTTGAGTAATTAAGCATAGAAATAAATCAACAACATTATAATTCAAAAACAAAAGGTAAATTTCCTTTTTAGAAACCAGATATAAGTGTTTAAACAGAAAGATACACTAGGTACAAAATTTGTCACTACATCCTTCACAACAGGAATCCAGAGGATCAAATTTTTCTGGACCCTGTAATGACAATAGACACCATCATATTAAGTATAATCACAACAAGTGATACGGACCTACCTGTACAATTCATTAAGATCATTTAAGTTTACTCATAATTTAAATAAGAAATCCAGAAGGATTATTTTTGTAGATTCCTGGGAGTGCTAATGATGAAAAATGATTGAAGATAAAATCCTGAATTCAGATAAATAATCCTAACAATACTAGTTTCATGTTTTAGCAAAACCATAATTGTAAACTTGTATATAGGTACTATTCTTGGCAAGAAAGTGTAACATTTCATAAGTTTGCAAAAAATATGAAATTAGGTTTAAAAAATTAAAATTACCATATTTCACAAATTATCATTAGCCTATAGTATATTGGGGAAGAGGAGTGCATTCTAAGTGAAAAGAAAAAGATTTCTCATGAAATATGATTGTATGTGTATACTGTTGATAATTGCACTTTTTGGGGGGATATGTTATATAACCTAACAAATTATAGTGCAGAAAATTAAAATGCTCCGATGCTATTAGATTCATTAGGATGCCTAACAGATTTGGAAGGAAAATGTGAAGCCTCCCAAACTACAAAAATAAACCAAGAAAATGGTCCAGGGAAGAAAACAAGCTAAGAAAAAAGTTCTCCATTCATAGAAAATTCATCACAAAAATGACAAATCTATTTGGGTTACTCAGACTGGAGGGGACAAAGGGAATTAAAAATATCTACAAATATTCCAAGGCTATATCTCACACATATGAGAATCTTTATATTATTTTTCACACAAGAAATAAACTACCACAATAACATTTCACATTACATAAGCTTCAGACATTGGGATTGTATTTTTAAAATATTAGTCTATAGAATGAAGATGGGGGAATCACACAAAAACTGAAAGTAACAGGAAATTATATGCATAAAATGCAAATTTGTAAATAGTAACAACTGAAAATAAAATGAATCTATTTAATGCAAGGTATGTTAAACAATAGAAAGAAAGAAAAGGCTATTGACTGTCATACTGAGTACAGTTACTGCAGTCAAACACAGTAAAATGGGAAAATCAATACACTAAAAAGAAGAATATAAATCTACATAGAAAAGGTAAGAATGAGAAGAAATAATCTAGTGGGTTTTTTTTTGGACTATACAAAAGAAACAAAAGACAATATTGTGATTATTTTTACCATGTCAGTTTACAAAATTAAACACAAGGCATAAATCCATTAATCCAGAAGTTTATTATGTCAAAAAGTGAAAGTTTAATAAAAATACTTAAATAATATCTATATGTTTAACACCAAAGAAGAAAAGGCTTATATAAGTGAGAAAATGTTCTGTGATGATGTTCTAATATAAGTGAGATGATGTTCTATGACAGCAACAGCAAAATTCCCACTGTTATATAGTGGTAAAACAGAAATAAATATTAACAGCTCAACAGGGAGACTGTCATTACAGTTAGTATTGGATACCTAGTTAATATTCCTTCATAAACAAAGGTAAATTTAAATTCCTTTCTGCAACAAGAATAACATTTGTTGAAGTCTTTAAAAAAAAAAAGATCTCAAGTTAGACACCAAAAAGAGCTTCATTAGTTTCACACTCCAAAAAAGGTTTCCTGCTTTAAGTTAGAAAATGTGAGAAAAAAAATTTCAATACATGGAGATCATTGAACCAAGGGAGGCATGCCATCTTTGGCAGTGTCAAGGGAAAGAAAATATTTAGATACAAATTGAAAATACAAGTAAAGTTCTGCATATATAAATTAGATTTTAAAATCTTGGAATTTTATAATATTTAACAGATCTTAGAATTTATGTTTTCAGATTTGTTTCATCGACTTGTTAAAATTGATGCCATATCAAGCATGCTTTGCAGAATACCAACGATTCTTTTATCAGAACTAATAAGCACCAAAGGACTGACAGTGGCATAGACATTTCCCACAAGTCTCTGGACATCAAGGACAACTGGATCATATTTCCCCAATATGGTTGAGACAGATGACATTATGATATCCAAACAGTACATGATCACAAAGAAACTCACCAGCAACAGGACAGTCTGGGTGGCCCTTTTTGCTGGGGAGGTTCTTGGGAACACCCTCCTGCTGTGAAGGTAATCAGACCTCCTCTGATGGCTAGATAAGAAAATCACCATGTAGGCACTGGAGAGCAGCATGAGTCCTACAAAGAAGACATTCTGGGATAATGCGACTGTTAAAAATAGTTCCATGATGATGGGGTTCATTGAGGAAAGCGAGCAGAACTTATTGATATTGAAGAGATTAGTCATGTTGGAATTAGCTACTGTGTAGATGATCATGTAACTATTGGAAGATAAGTTGAGAGACCAAAAACAGAAGAATGTGTCGCTAATATAATTTGTGAATTTATGTTTAAATCTTGACAAGAAGAAGGTGCTGGGGCTAATAGTGATGACCTGGATGACGCTAAGGAGGCAGGTGGTACAGATGGACAGACCCCTCATCACCCTGCTCAAATACAGCCAAGCCTTACATTTTAAGTCATTTGGAAAATTCAGTGACTTGAATATGTCTGCAGATAAAATATCCAGTGCAGTCAGTAGCATCACTATGTGGACAAAAGCTAAGTGGCAGGTGGTCACATCGGTGGGCTTGGGCCTATGATCTTGGTGGATGGTGAAGATGTGGAAGAGAAAGAGGAAGGCATTGGTGAAGATTCCAATACTGGCTTGGAAAATATACACGTTTTTTAATGATAACATAATTGGAAATTTTGTTCATCTTAATAGCATTTAGGAAACATTTGAGATACCTGAAAAACAAAACAGAACCAAAAATAGACCTCCAGTGAACATTGCTCTTTCTTTTGTCATTAAAATCATTACAAATCATCATTTTTATCTTACCCCCTTATTGTTAACAAACCTAGAATATTTTTTAGAAATTTGTACAGTATAGCTAGCCTCTGTACTACCCTACACAAAAAAATGAATATTTCATCATTTCCATTTTGTGGACCCTTTGAAGACTCTTTTATTTGTAGATTACAAAAACTTACACAAACGCTGTCCTCAGAATCAGGCATTATTGTCTGGCTGAAAAGCCCACAAGAGCATTTCAGGCATGAAAAGCCTAGACACTGTGGCAAAAAAGTCCTACATGAAGGACTTATGTGGGTGAGATCCCAGTGGAAGCAAATGGTCATCAAAGAAGGAGGTACTTTTCTCTGAAAGGAGGAGAGAACTTCCACTTTGCTTATGATCTTGTCTAAATATTGACAGAGTTTGTGGATTCAAAAAGTTTCCATAGCCTAGGCAGCTCATGTCAAGGGCATTGAGTGATCACTGACATCATACATAAGAGTGTGAATTATTAAATTATCTACAGGAGTCACTATGCACTAACTTCCCATGCAGGACCTCTACCCTCAAAGAGTTGTATTATAATCCTGTCTATGTGTTCACAAAGGATGTATCATTCTTGGGTGCTTCTTTAAAGTTAATTACGTTTCTAAAAAAAAAAAAAAAAAAAAAAGTTAATTTCAAGATGCAATGACTTTTTAACACTTTTTAACAGCCCTTGTCTGGACTATTGAGAAATAATTTTTTCATGCAAATATACTCTTTACATAGTATAGAGATGGTCTTCTGAGTATAAAGTTAGTTGAAAATGGATTTTAGTGGCGAACGGGACTGGGAATGGGAAAGGGAGGAGAAAGATGGGTGAGAGTGTGGGTGGGAGGGTGGTTATGGTGGGAAGAATCACTATATTCCTAAAGTTGTATTTATGAAATGAATGAAGTTTGTATTCCTTAAATAAAAGGTCTCTCATGGGGATAATACAATACAATACAATGCAATACAATACAATACACATACAAAAAATTGAAATTATTTTTAATTTAATTTTATGTAAAATTTTGAAACACTCTATACACACACAAACACAAATACCCACACATACAGTGCAAACATAACTTATGCTCAGAAATTAAATGTCTGAGTAGAAACTCCTCTACAGCCACATGACATGCATTAGTTAACAAAGGACATATTTCATAGTTGATTGAATTGTTGTTGAAACATTTGTGTATCAGAACTGAGTAACTGATTACTCCATAAACATGTGTCTGCACCCTCAGCTCAATATGGAACCACAAGAAGCCCTAGGATTAACTGTCTCTACATTTGTAGGATAAGAATCAATTCAATTTCAATAATTTATTGTAATATGGAATGTTACATGCAATTGTTTTAGATATGTTTATACGTAATTGTGTTGTTCTACTCCATACATTGTGAATCATTCAGGAAAAGAGATAAAATAATTACATGAAAGAGAATAGGAAAAGATTTAAATATTTTCCTTTCCCAAAACAGCAGTATTTGGCTGATTCTCCCTAACTCATATCCCTCTTTCTGTAAGTGCCCATCATGTACTGAAACAATCTTGATCTTACAGATGGTCAACTGTTCTCTGTTTCCAATGAGGCTCCTGATAACATGAAGACTGAGTGAGAAAAAAATGTGATTACTGTGGATGGTCATTGATAGATGAAGTACAATATTTTACAGAATTTTTAAAAACTTTCCTATAGCCCCAACATTAAGTGATCTACATCATCCATAAGAACCCTAAAATATCACTGATTATTTATTTGAACTTTAAGTTAATATTTTTATGTGAGTAATCTGGCAGTCCAATCACGAGGATCACTGAATTTGCAATAATACGCTACTGACCTGGAGAAAATGGAATAGAGCGAAGTTTGAGCATGGTCACCTATAACTTGGTCAGAGTGAAATGGATGCAACTGAAAACCATTATATTTGGTGAAATATGCCAGTCCCAAAAAGAGAAATACCCTGTTTTCTCTGATATGTAGCAACTAATAGAGTACCTAAAACATAAACTGTAGGATTAAAATTGGCACTGTAAACTCTGATGATTGTTACAGTCCTTGTCTCGAATATTGAGGAACAGTGTTATTTTCCATACTAAGTGTTGAACTCTTTACTCAGTATAGGATGAATCTTATGAGTATAAAGTTAACTGAAATTATATTTTGTAAAAAAAAAAAACAAGAGTGGGAATAGGAGAAGGAGGAGGAAAAAGAGTGGGAATATGGGCAGGAGGGAGGGTAAGTAAGGTTAAAAACATCCCTGTGTTCCTGAATCTGTATGTAGGAAACACGTGAAATTTGAATACCTTCAATATACTTTTTTAAAAAAGAATAATTGGGTCTTTTTTGAACAAAGTAAACACTTTTAAATCTGACTATACAGCCCAGTTTTCACTGTAAAAAGTAACAACTTGCGGTTACTGGGGCTGAGAGTGAATCCCTTGAGCAATCTCAGGACACAGAAAGTGTGGACAACATTCAGGCATCTACCTTATATTCCAAAGTACTTGCGTAATCATGGATCACTGTGAAGAAAAATATCACAATTAAATGGACCAGGAATCAAAAGACTGATGAAATCTCTGGTCTTAGATGAGACATGCACATAAAACAGAGCACTGTAATGATAGAGAGAAGACATCTGCACAAATTCGAGTGCTGCTGCTTACATACAGTATGTTTTAAAAAATTATTTACTCAAAAGGCTGAAAGATTGACACACATGGAGAGAGAGAGAGAGAGAGTGAGAGAGAGAGAGAGAAAAAGAGAGCTAGAGAAAGAGAGAGTTAGAGAGAGAGTGTTTTCTTGCATCCACTGGTTTACTCCCCCCAGATGCCCACACATGCTGGGACTGGACCTGGCCAAAGATAGGACTGAGGAACTCCATTTGGATCTCTCATGTGTATGTCAGGAACCTAAGTATTTTAGCCACCATGTGCTACTTCGTAGGTGCATTAGCAGCAGGAGAAAGATGGATCAGAAGCACGCTATAACCAGGGCTTGAACCAACACTCTGATATGGTATCCAGATGTCCCAAGTGTCAGCTTAACCTACTACATAGCAATGGTTTCCTCAAGAAAAACAATTTTGATAAAATATTTTTTCATATTTATTACAATATCAATTATTAAAGTATGGTTATATTGTAAGTGGTGATTCAATGTTATTTGATAAATAATTATATAATTATATTTGTAATCTATATAGATATAAGAATATAAGTATATATGATAAAATATGCTATTTATTTTCTGTTTATGTTAAACACCAGTGTTACCTCATCATAAGTTTTACCATATGTATTGAATAGCATTGTAAGACCTTTGACATCAATGACAGCACTAAAATGATGATGAGACTTTCAGATTAACAGATGTGGGGGAGTAAATTGATAGTGTTCACTGATGGAAATGAGTCAGTTGGCAGATTCAAACACCTTTTCCACCATGATTAGCTCTACAAAAGGATTTTTTATAAAATGGACAAATTCTGGAAGAATAAATAGGGCAAGCATCCAATAGCATTGACTGATTTCAATGTGTCAGCCATTCCTTGGAAACTGAACCTAATGCAGATGTAGCTAAAAGCACAGAGTTAATGAGGGTATTAATAATCCTATACACTAAAAAAAAAAATCCTATACACTGAATTTTCAGTCCCCTCAGAAAAAGCATAGGTAACAAAAATGTCACCACAGAGGTAGGAAACAGACACTGTAGTAGTACAAGACAATAAGAAATCATATTCTAGGGCAGGTGTTGTGGCAGAGCCACTGCCTGTAGTGTCAGCATCCATATTGGTGACATTTTGAGTCTCAGCTACTCTACTTTTGTTCTCCCAGGTAATGTGCCTGGGAAAGCAGAAAATGGCCCAAGTGCTTGGGCCCCTGCTACCTATTTGGGAGACCTAGAATAAGCTTCTTGCTCCTGGCTTTGGATCAGCCCAGCTCCAGCCACTGGGGCCATTTGGGGGAGTAAGCCAGTGGATGGAAGTGCGCTCTCTCTCTCTCTCTCTCTCTCTTTCTCTCTCTCTCTCACATACACACACACACACACACACACATTTTTTCTTATAAGTAAATAAATAGCAAAAAAAAAAATCATGTGCTATGATTTTGGGTTTTGGGGACACCCAAAGGTGCTCCATGAGAGTGCATTTTTTTTAAATCAGCAGAATCAAGCACATACTAGGAAAGGATAAAACCATGTATTTAAAAGCTAGTAACTTGAGCCGGCGCCGCGGCTCACTAGGCTAATCCTCCGCCTAGCGGCGCCGGCACACCGGGTTCTAGTCCCGGTCGGGGCGCCGGATTCTGTCCCGGTTGCCCCTCTTCCAGGCCAGCCCTCTGCTGTGCCCGGGAGTGCAGTGGAGGATGGGCCCAGTTGCTTGGGCCCTGCACCCCATGGGAGACCAGAAAAGTACTG